ACTAAAGGTTTACAAATAATAACGCGACGGACGAAACGCGACCAAATCATACGGACGCGGACACGACTTATAACTAAGATAGTAGCGTGGCGGACGAAATTTACCCAACGCGGCGTGGATACGAGCGCCCTAAAAAGGGCGAGCTCCGTAAACCGCCTTGGATTCGGGCGCCCTGAGAAGGGCGAGCTCCGCAAGATGTCGGTGGCTCTCGGAGGATCCGGTGACCGAGGAAACTCGGCCTTCCCGACGAGAACGCTCGTCGGCCGGGGTGATGTTTGGAGTGGATCCGGTGCCCGAGGACGCTCGGCCTGCCCGACGAGAACGCTCGTCGACCGGGGTGATGTTCGGAGAGGATCCGGAGACCGAGAATGCTCGGCCTGCCCGACGAGAACGCTCGTCGACCGGGGTGCTGTTCGGAGAGGATCCGGTGACCGAGGACGCTCGGCCTACCCGACGAGAACGCTCGTCGACCGGGGTGATGTTCGGAGAGGATCCGGAGACCGAGAATGCTCGGCCTGCCCGACGAGAACGCTCGTCGACCGGGGTGTTGTTCGGAGAGGATCCGGTGACCGAGGACGCTCGGCCTGCCCGACGAGAACGCTCGTCGACCGGGGTGCTGTTCGGAGAGGATCCGGTGACCGAGGACGCTCGGCCTGCCCGACGAGAACGCTCGTCGGCCGGGGTGATGTTCGGCGAGGATCCGGAGACCGAGAATGCTCGGCCTGCCCGACGAGAACGCTCGTCGACCGGGGTGCTGTTCGGAGAGGATCCGGTGACCGAGGACGCTCGGCCTACCCGACGAGAACGCTCGTCGGCCGGGGTGATGTTCGGAGAGGATCCGGTGACCGAGGACGCTCGGCCTGCCCGACGAGAACGCTCGTCGACCGGGGTGATGTTCGGAGAGGATCCGGAGACCGAGAATGCTCGGCCTGCCCGACGAGAACGCTCGTCGACCGGGGTGCTGTTCGGAGAGGATCCGGTGACCGAGGACGCTCGGCCTACCCGACGAGAACGCTCGTCGGCCGGGGTGATGTTCGGAGGTGAGGAGTGGTCCTTGAGTACGCTCAAGAGACCAGGACGGGACTGGTCCCGAAGTCTCGGCTGCGCCGCTTTATATACCCGTCGGTCAGCCCCCTCCAACTAACTTGGGTGGGGCGGTCCGGTCGGGTGGGGCGAAAAGGCAAATTCCCACGTGTTCGATGTGTGGTGGCCCCGACAGGGGCCGTTTATATGAGCGCGGGCGGACGGTCGGCCTCGTGCTTGCGCGGCTTCTAGTGACGACAAAACGGGTCGTCACACAGTCAAAAAAGCAAAACCTCATTGATCCGGCTCGAAGGACCAGAAATGTTGCGGAATGCACTGATTAAATTAATTTTGATCGGGAATAGAGGGAGAATGGGTTGATTGTTAACAGCTGAGAATATGGTTAAAAAAAAAATGTTTATTCGATTTTTCACAAAAAAAACTAAAGTTTCGAGTTCGAATAGACACACTTGACGAACGGTGGACAATCATTTTTAACGAGAACAGACGGACATCTTGTGCTTGATCGTATTGCTGAGCGCGTACTCGACGGAAATCTTCTCGCGATAATTTTTACAAAGATCGCAGCGATCAAGAGCCGAACGCGGATGCGCGATGCACCGTTCGCGAGATCGAGGTCTCTGAGAGTCTCCGGAACACTGTAATGTCGGAGCACGTGGTGATACATGCGGTCGTAATTGCAGCCGAACTATGCATGTATTTCACAAATAAAACTGAAATAATGGAAAATATCGCTTGCACAATATTCTACAAATTTTGCCGATGACCGCGGAAAAGAATCCCTTTCGTAACTCGAAGGATTATGTGAACAACGCGTGATACGAATTTCCAATAACGAGGCAATGTGTTAATACACTGAAGCCGGAACAAGAAGAAGGAACGGAAACGAGGAAGGATATTAGCGACTCAGATAGGCATAACGGGGGTGCGCGACAGATCCTAATCGATACACCGCGCACTTGAAGTTGGCGAAAAGGGACCCGCGAATGCGAATTACAAAGAGGTGTGAGAAGGATCGGCTACGCGCTATTCCTCGGTCGCGTGGAAATTCGTGATTCGCTAATGCGACGATTGAATGGTTCTCAATATATTTGAATCGCGGACATTTAACTTTTCGCGGAGACTCTCAATTATTTTCAACGGTTCCGGAACAAAGAAGCAATATTAAAATTGTTTTCAACTATGTCATAAAGAGACACATTTATATATGTATGTTTTATTGTCATTGACACGCTTAGATGCGTGTGCGAGATGATTTGACAGTAAAATATATTATGTTGTCTGATTTAATATGTTGAACCACTAAAATGGCTTTTTGACATATATATATATATTACTGTCGATAATAGCGAAATTAAAATTGTCGGTAATTATCGACAATTTTAGTTCCTCTCAAATGAGGGCGCTAACCCGTCGGAGTTCGGCCAACGCTCCGGCATCCCCTTAAGATTGTTAAAGTGTAGCATACTAATCCTGTAACATATCTACTCAAGGATTATCGCAGACATCTATCGCTGGAGCGTTTTACGAGCACGAGCTGCGTCGCGCAAATTGTCCGGATGTGTACCTCGTGGAGAAAATACTGCGCAGGAGGGGTGACGAGGTTTATATGAATGGCTGGGATTCGACAGTTCGCACAACTCTTGGATACATAAAAACAATGTTATTTAATGTATTTTATTCAATCATTGTATAACATACTATATTTGTATAATATATATAAAATATATAACAAATTGTACGAGAAAATATGTGATCTCGTATGCGTGATGCGAGTATTTTGATGTCCGTAATGCTCTTAATTGTATTGTCTCGCCAAATGTGATGTGACGAGGAAATCCACGTAACATATGCAATCAAATTTAATTCTCAGATCGAGATTTATTGTTGCGGTGCCGAGTAGATCGATGTACAATGTTCGTGCGTTCGCTCACCTGTTGTTGTGAATGTCTTATTTGTTATTTGTTATTAGCGCGACCGTTGGAACCGAAGTGTCTCACGGGCACATCGATGGAGACCATCGAGGCTCATTTCCCCACTTGTCCGTGTTTTCGGAATGCGCCGAATTTGCCGAGATAAGACGAGAAGGAAAACAGTGATATCACCGCGATCGGTGTCCGGCGTCAATCATGTAGGTCGTGTATCGAACATCCCGCCCCCCTTGAAGGGCATGCCTTCAACACGTGAATTATTATTCGCGATCCAATTAGACACATGTGATATCCTAAATTGAAATATAAATAAAGAGTAAATAGTACATAATAGAACTTGAAAATGACATTATCGCACATCACAATTTACAATAAAAAAAAATTGTCTCGTCAAATTGTCCCAATAATTATTACCTTCATTAGCTCGCGATCGTTTACTCGAGGTCAAAATTGATCAAATAAATCATAATTAAAATTTTACAATGTGTAACACGCGTTTTAATCGCAGGTGCCTCGTCTATCGGAAGGATAGCTAGCTTCGTTAGTGGCCTTGTTAATTGACCCTTCGCGGTCCTTAATGTGGCCGTCCTTGCAATACCGTCAGGGCCCGGATGAAGTTGTTGCACCCTGCCTATTAACCACTGCAGCGGCCCCAGCCTGGTTGCTGCACCATGGCGAGCTGACCGATTTTCAATTGCTGGCCCCTGCTAGTCCTCCATTTTTGTCGCTCGATTAAAGTATGTAAATATTCGGCGCTCCAACGCTTCCAAAAATGTTGCCGAAGCTGTTTACACGCGTTGCCATCGCAGTAGTCGGCCCGGATTCTCCTTCGTAAAATCTGCAACTGGGAAACTGTTTAGCGCTGCACCAACAAGAAATGTCCCGGCGTAATACAATGCAGATCGTTTGGATCCTCGCTTAACGGGGTCAACGGTCGCGAATTTAAAACCGCTTCTATCTCGCATAACACGGTTTGCATCTCTTCATATGTGAGATTCGCGTTACCTACTATTCGGTTAATATGAAATTTCGCCGACTTCACGGCCGCCTCCCACAGGCCCCCGACATGTGGAGCGTGGGGCGTATGAAATGCCAATTGATTTCATTATCTCGCATAAAACGCCGTATCGCAAACTGCGTGTCGTCATCGTTGATCAAGTCATACAGCTCCTTTATTTGTTTGCGCGCGCCGACAAACGTAGTGCCGTTATCTGAATATACACATGCCGGCTTGCCTCTACGTGATATAAAACGTTTAAAGGACCAAGGAACGCTTCCGATGTTAAATTGGTTACAATTTCGAGATGTACGGCCCTGGTCGAGAAACAAACGAACACCGACATATACGCCTTGTGTAATTTGGCATTACGTCTCTTGCCCTCCTTCAAGAGTATGGGTCCGGCATAATCTACGCCGCTATGTGTGAACGGTTTCGAAGCCGTCACGCGTTGCGCGGGCAAATCTGCCATTATGCTTGCGATACAGCCGGCTTACACTTGAAGCAGGTTACGCAATTGTGAATTGTTTTTCGGACAGCCGAACGCGCCGCCAGAGGCCAAAATCGTCGACGCACCGCATGCATTGTGGCCTGTAGGCCTGAATGCAAATTTTTACATGCTCTCTCGCTGTATGATTAAGGTTGTCAATCGGTGACTCTTCGGCAATAGCATGGGATGTCGCGCGTCGTATGGCAATGCTGCATTACTTATTCGGCCCCCCACTCTAATGATCTCGTGTTCATCCATAAACGGAGTCAATGACAGAATCCGACTTCCGCCGTCAACGTTCCGACCCTCGGTCAACTGTTTATGTTCCCTTGAAAAGGCATGCCTCTGTACGCACTTCACCGCGACTCGCAGAGCTGCTGTTATTTCGTGATGCGAAATAAACGTTGTCTGATATTTGATCGTACGCGAACGCGCTACTCTCAGGCAGTAAGCGATGATTCGCAATGCCCTGTCTAAATTGGAATGTTTGTCCAACAATTTAGTACGATCGATTGTTGTATGGATATCACCGCTGCGGTTACTTTTTTTTGTTCCGGTAACTCGCCCGACAAGTCGACACATAATTTGACCGCCAATGTTCCTCAGTTAACTGCAGGAATGCAGGTCCGTTCCACCAAATTGTCGATTGCATTAAGCCCGCCAGGTCGACGCCGCGCGATAATATATCCGCGGGATTGTGAGCGGACGGCACGTGCCGCCAACTCGATCTCCTGGTAAGGCACTGAATTTCACCGACGCGATTGGCCACGAAAGCGTTCCATTTACGCGACGGCGACGATATCCATTGTATAGTAATTGTGGAATCCGTCCATAAAATTATCTCTGATTTCGATAAATCAACCGATGCGCGAATCTTCTCGATTAAATGTGATAGCAATAACGCGGCATTCAATTCTAGCCGCGGTAACGAAACTGCTCTAATTGGTGTTATTCGTGATTTGGAAATTAAAAGTTCCACCCGGTATCCGTCGGAATCGCGCGTTCTTATGTATACGCACGCGCCGTATGCACGCTCGCTCGCGTCACAAAAGCCGTGTACTTGTGATCTGTGCGCGTCCGCCCGAAATCCGACAAAACGCGGCACACGCAATTCGCGAAGGCGCGTCAATTGTTGTTTTACGTTCAGCCATCGCTGATGCAAATCTTGCGGCAACGATTTGTCCCCCCCGACGCGAGCCTGCCACGTATCTTGCATGATCATTTTTGCCACAACTGTCAGTGGCCCTAATAAACCCAAAGGGTCGAAGAGACTCGCGATTTCCGACAAGATCGTCCGCTTCGTTATGCTACCTGTCGGTGCGCCGCAATTGTATCCGAAGCGAAATCCGTCGCTGGACGGATCCCATGCGACTCCCAATATTTTCGAGCTCGCTTCATCGCCTAATGATACCTCCGCACTCGTTGTGTCTAATGCCCTGTAACAATTCTCGGCAATTCGATGACCATTTGCCGAGTTCAAACTGTCCGCGCTTAATAAGGCTATCACCTCGTCACGAATGCGCCCTGCTTCGGACAATGTATTGGCGCCCGCGAGTAAGTCATCCACATAAAAATCCCGAAGAACGCATTGTGCCCCCGCAGGATAATCGAGGGCATGTTTTTGTGCCAAATGTTGAAAGCATCTCGTCGCGAGAAATGGCGCCGAGCCCGTGCCGTAAGTAACGGTAAGCAACTCATAAGTACCGACCGGCGAATTCGAGTTCTCGCGCCACAATATTCGTTGCAGATGTAGCTGTGACTCATGAATAAGTATCTGTCGATACATTTTAACTATGTCTGCAGTAAAAACGTACGCGAACGTGCGGAAACGAGTGAGAATTGATATCAAATCCTGCTGAACCGTAGGACCTATCATCAAGGCATCATTCAAAGAAATTCCCGACACCCGTGTGAAGCTGGCCCCCCAACATTAAAAAAAATTAACTTTCTATAGCTCATTCGATTGCACATGTTTGCACATGTATGCACATTTCGAATTTTCGTTTGCACACCTCTAATAAAAAAGTTATAACCAAAACAATTTTGGGGGGGCCAATTTCACAATAGCCCCCCCAATATGAGCAAATTTGATCCAAAATAGCTTGATCGATAGATTTTCGTTTGCACATTTCGAAACAAGTCAAATTTTCGTTTGCACACCCTTAGTTTAAAAGTTATAAACAATTAAAAATCCGTAAATGTCAAAATGAGTAAACAAGTTTAAAACGCGAGAATTGGATTCAACATGGCATTAATCGAAAGATTTTCGTTTGCACATTTCGAAATAGGTCGAATTTTCGTTTGCACACTCTTAGTTTAAAAGTTATAAACAATTAAAAATCCGTAAAATGTCAAATACGAGTAAACAAGTTTAAAACGCGAGAATTGGGTTCAAAATGGCATTAATCGAAAGATTTTCGTTTGCACGTTTCGAAACAGGTCGAATTTTCGTTTGCACACTCTTAGTTTAAAAGTTATAAACAATTAAAACCGTAAAATGTCAAATATGAGTAAACAGTTTAAACGCGAGAATGGATTCAAAATGGCATTAATCAAAAGATTTTCGTTTGCACATTTCAAAATGGTCGAGTTTCGTTTGCACACTCTTATTTAAAAGTTATAAACAATTAAAAATCCGTAAAATGTCAAATACGAGTAAACAGTTTTAAAACGCGAGATTTGGTTCAAAATGGCATTAATCGAAAGATTTTCGTTTGCACATTTCGAAACAGGTCGAATTTTCGTTTGCACACTCTTAGTTTAAAAGTTATAAACGATTAAAAATCCGTAAAATGTCAAATACGAGTAAACAAGTTTAAAACGCGAGAATTGGATTCAAAATGGCATTAATCGAAGATTTTTGTTTGTGTTTAAGATTGAGAAAAAGTCGCCGAGCTCGATCAAACAAAAATTCACGGATCAGTCGAGAATTTAGGTAAAGGCAATTGCCGCGGGCCTAACACGGCGCACACCTCGCGGCACGCACCGCGGAAGCGCCGCGGAAGTAAATTTTCGGCCAATTAGCGCGTTCCGCGCGTACCCCTCGCGATCACGCGGTCGATAGCGTATCGATGAGGGCAGCATTCGTCGGAGACAGTCGTCGTGGAGAGAGAGCCGGCTTTGGTCGCAAGTCAGACTAAATAATTCGCGTTACGGTGTAATAAGTGCGTGAATGTACTATCGCGACAAATACGAACAGATTTGCGCGGTATTTTGTGACATATCGAGAGTGAAAAGTTAACGGATAATTGGATCTCGTTCGCGACGCAACATACACGTTCTCGCGACGAATTCGCCATTGTCTCGTGCACGCTACGTGCACGTGATCGAACATTGCGAATATTCGGATCCTGCTGGAGGATTTATTGCGATATTCGCTTACAGGTGAATGCATGTCGTGCATTCTCTCTTTCTCTCTCTCTCTCTCTCTCTCTCTCTCTCTCTCTCTCTCTCTCTCTCTCTCTCATCTCTCTCTCTCTCTCTCTCCCGTCTGTCAGTCGCACGCCGTCGCCACGAATTCGCCGTTGTATTGTGCACGCTGCGTACACGTGATCGACTCCTGCGAATATTCGAATCCTTCTGGAGGATTCTGGTGATAGTTACTTACAGATGAATGCATGTCGTGCATTCTCTCTCTCTCCCTTTCTCCCTTTCTCAGAGTGTCGTCACAGTGTTTCGATTTCCAAATTCTTTGCCGCGTGTGCACGTGCAAGCGGCTAGCGACTCAACGATTTGGCCAGGATCGCTCGCATTATTGTCGTCGAGCGATTGTATTCTGCGTTAATCTTGTGAGTTAATTTTCGTTGTGAGAAGTGATCGTGAACAAGATATTTAAGATAATTATTGAATCGCGTTAAATCATAGTGCGCGTTTTCGATAAATTATAACTGTCGTCTACAAGAGGACAAATTTGTTATTGTACGATTCGCGATCGTGACTTTCAAAGGACATTGTTTTTTTTTGCGACAAAAGACATTGGTGTCGATATCGAACAAACAGTTGTAACGTCCAGACAAATTTCAAAGTCTCAATCTTTTTCAAAATTTTATTCTTTAACCTACTAGTCATGACAATCTCTAACCTGCATGAAAGACCGGTATTAACAAATATTTAATCACACATATAATTACTCATAAGTTAAACATGTTTTCTCACAAATGACAATGGGGAGTAATCCACTTTTAAATAATTATTTCTATCATAAAAGGCATAATTAACAAGGGTGCTCCGCTCTGAATCATTCGTTAGGAAACATAAAATTAGAGAATAAGCGCGCCTAAATCAGACAACGAATGTAATGTTTCTAACCCCTGAAACACCGTACATATTGCATGCTACTAATGCCCCTGTATACTCCTACACCATTTGTACTTGCGAGCCCCTAGGCACCGTAAACATTGTATGTTCATAACCCCTAATTATACTATACCCGTCGTACGCTCTAACCCCTGAGTGTCTTACACACTTCATACAGCAATGAATATGTAGAACTTTTCTTTAGACGGCACTTCACTACCAACACACGACAATAGGGAAATCAACATTACCGACTAATGATAAAACAGAAACTTGACCTACCAACTACAGACAAAACTTTCCCACTAATGATAAGGTAGAAAACATCTTACCAACCGACGACGTTATGAAAATCGACTTACCGACCAATGATAAAACAGAAACTTGACTTACCAACTACAGATAAAACTTGCCCACTAATGATAAGGTAGAAACTACCCTTACCGACCAACGACAAATATGAGACTAACATTACCAGCCAATAGCTGCCTATAACAAATATATTATTAACCTTAAAACTCTCATTTATAAATTAGGAGACAAAAATCCTATGCAAATATGCATAATAACATTATATCCGTCATACAATCGAAGGTACTACACCTATGCAATGTAGATTTGCGAATTGAGTGTTGAC